TGTCCCTGTGGCCACATGCTGCCCACAAAGCCCCAGAAGGCGCTCCAGCACCGCTGCGGTGGACAGTGCCCTCTGTGAGTACTAGGAAGCTGCTGTTCCCATGTTTTCAAAAGTTGCTGCTATCTTGGGGGTGCCAGAGGCGTGAGTTCTGTGCAGAGGGCGGGTTAGAATGGACCCTTTCTCTAATCTGTGCCACACTTTGCCATGTTGGCCCCAAGGCAGCAGCTCTATGTTCAGTGTCTCCTAAAATTTCTTTTAAAGAGATTTTTACCAGCATCTGGTGCTCACCATTGACTCAATCTCTGGGCTCAAATTCAGTCCAAGTAGTGGTGTAGAAGTTCATGCTGCCTCATGCCTTCTGTTGATCCCTTTGAGACCCAAACTTCCAACCATACTTTCCATCCTCCCCCAAATATCAGTGAATGTGAGAGTCCCAACTCAACCAGCCCATGACTCTTAGTATAACTAAATGAATCATTACAAGGGTGTTAGTATTGTGGGAAGCAGGAATAGGATTTTATTTTTAACTTATCTTTAAGGCATGGATAAATCTAATATTAATTATTTTGTGGGGATTTTTTTTTTTTTTTAGTTTAGAATTCAAATATTCCTTTATGCTGTAAAGGAGAAGAGAAATGCTTAATAATAATATACATGATGCATCAGGACTAGTTCTTACCATACAGAGCAATGTACAAACACTTTAACCACCTATCTTTATAGTTTTAATTTTACATATTTAAAACTGTAAAGGTAGTTACATATTTAAATATGTAAAACATATTTCCCCATAATGCATGCCTAATACTCCTTAAATTACAATAGTTGTTGTATCATACCTGAATCATTAGTTAAGACTTGAATTATCATGCTAACATATTTTTAAACATTAAAAAAAAAAAAAAACCCAGAAGGCAGAAAAATTCCAAAGGAAAAAGTATTGAGGATCTTTAAAATTTTAAGTAAAATTTAAGGGGGAAGAGGGACATATTAAAAACATACACACACTATGGTAATACTTTACCAATTTAATAGATACAGCTCAGAAACAAATCTATAATAATAAAAGTGCTATATGCTATTAGACTGGACAGCCAAATGACCTTCCAGACATCATTTTGGACATCCTTCTGGATGAAGCTGCTGCAGCAGGGGGTGAGGCAGAGGCAGTTAGGGGTGATCAGGCAGGCAGGCGAGTAGTTAGTGGTGATCAGGCAGGCAGGCAGAGTGGTTAGGGGTGATGATGCAGGCAGGAGAGTGGTCAGGGCCAATGAGGCAGATAAGCAGAAGGGTTAGAGGTGATCAGGGAGGCAGAGTGGTTAGGGGCAACAAGACAGGCAGGCGAGCGGTTAAAAGCCAGCAATCCCAGATTGTGAGAGGGTGCAGGCCGGGCTGAGGGACCGCCCCTCCCCTGCAGGAATTTCACAGTGGGCCTCTAGTATTAACATAAAGGGTTTTCAGGTCTGCCCTCCCACCTCCTTGTCCCATGTTTTGCTCTTATTCTCCCAAAATGATTTTGGTTGATAGTTTATTCTCTACTGCTAGATTATTTAAAAAGCACAAAGAAACATTTAAACTGAAGCTGGCGATGGATTATTAACTCTAACCTTAGCAAGAGTGCATGACCTCTGTTTGTTACCAAACATTACAGTAAGTTTACAGCGACCACAAAAGATTATTTGGTTCTCCTTGTTTATAATGATTATGAAAAGATAATACTAAGCAGAAACTTCTGCTGTTATCGATATTGACCACAAACACAGGAAAGACAAAAGATGTGTTTGTTAGGCACTACTCAACAGACAAAATTTCTTCAGAAATCATTACATTTTCACTTAGAATTTTCAATCACAAAATATCTCAGTGGGGGGAAAAATGAGTTACAAACCCAGAAGAGTGCATCTAACTTCGTTTTACATGCACACCGAAATCTCAGACTGAAATGTGTTTAAAGTCTACATGGAGCTGCATCCTCCCAGGTCCATTTCCCCCTTTTCCAGCGGCAGCAGGGTCGCCCAGCCTGGGCTGTTGCTGTCCACTCCCGGGCTACTGTAGGCGCTTGCAATGCGGTGTTCCCCAGCTTTGTTTCTCCAAGATCCCTTTTTAACCTTCCTCTTCTTTTTACCCCTACCCCAGTCTAATCTTACTCTGTCATTTCCTTCATCTGTCCCCAGACCCTACACTAAGCACTTCCTCCCCTATGACTAACCCAGGGTGGCACTCCTTATCACTAAGGCCTCTGTGTTGTGGTTAATAGTATCATTTTACTTTCATTTTGAGATAACTTCAAACTGCACAAGAGTTGCGACAACTGTACAAAGAACTCCCATGTACCCTTCACCCATTATACACCAACTGTAAAAACATTTGCCATATTTGCTTTATTTCTCCCTTCTTCCCGTTCTCTCTCTTTTACACACACACACACACACACACACACACACACACACACACACTTTTCCCCATAATAATTTGAGAATTATTTGTAGAAATCATACTCTTTTGCCCTCAAACACTTCAGATCTTACATGTTTTCTTAACCAATTATAAAATTCAGAAAATGTAATGCTGATAAAATACTATTATTTAATGCATGGTCCACTTAAAATATTGCCATTTGTCCCAATAATATTTTCCATGGCAGTCTCTCCCTTTCCTTCCCACCTCCCGGATCACATTTAGTTGTTGGGTCTTTGTAATCATCTTTAAACTCTGTCTACCATGACATCTTCCTTTCTGAAGATTACAGGGCAGTTGTTTTGTAAATGTCCCTCAACTTGGGTTTGTCTGATGACTGCATTCAGGTTCTGCCTTTTTTACATAATTAGAACTGCAGACTTGCATAGGCTATTTTTACCACAAAGCAAAAGTTGAATTTAAAAGTCATCACACCCTCCCCACAAGCTCCCATTGCTTCAAAAGCGGCTAATCCCACCTGAATGCTAAGAGGAACACACGATAAATACTAGTACCTGAGTGTGTAAACCTGCTAGGTAGGCATCACTATATTTTAAGAGAAAAATGTATTAACCCAAAGGATGCAATTTTTCAAAAAAGTCACAAGAATATGCTTGTACTTGCAGGTGTGGGCCTGCTTTTTATATACATGTTCAAGGGTGAGAAGCAGTGCAATTTTACCTGGATATTTTACAAAAGGCCCTGACTATGAAATGCTTCAGCAGTCATCTGCTTTCTATAATAGATGCAAAAACTAGCTAATAAAGCTGTTAATCCATCTTTACTTTGTCTAAGTTTTCCTAATGATTAATATCATGTAGCTAGGCCTCAGGGTCTCAGTTCAGAGCAGTTAACGTTTGGATGGCACTATTTCTAATGTTTGGGAGAGAAAGGCAGTGAGAGCCAGGCTGGTTGGACAGTGGGAGTTCTGGCAAGAGCAGTGAGTACTAGGTAAGGGTGAGTGGGGAGCAGGGATAAAACGGAGAGGGAGGCGAGATCACATACAAATCTTTCTCTGTCTTCAAGTTTGCTCAAGGCTGGCTCATTTCTGTTTATGCCCACTAACCAACAAGAAAGAAAAAAAAGATCAAGGCTATTAACAAAATATAGATTTTCTTAATGAGAATTTCAAGTATAGATTTTATTTAAGCCTGCCATTTTGAAACAAATATCTGTTCTTATAAGGAAAATTTGTTATGAAGCAAGGAAAGGAAATAGTTGTGTAATCCCCTCCCTTTCTTATCTTTAATACAGCAAGGAAGTAAAGCAATCTCTTTCCATTTCCCAGGCAATGTTCCCAGCAACCTCGCATCTTCATGTTCTTTTTTCTTTGTAGAAGCAGCAGCATCAGCAGCAACTTTTGCACATAGCTCTCGGGAGGAAGAGGTATTAAGATACAAACCACATATACAAAACTAGTTCCTGTGTTACAGGCAAGATGAGTGGCACAAACAGGAGTTGGCATGTTACAGAATGGCTAAAGAAATAACCAATGCATGTAATGGGTTGGGTTACTTATATTGCACCCTTGAAATACAAGCTTCCCATAGAGGAGTAAACTTATGTCTGTGGAGTCCTAGAGTTAGGAGAACATTCATGTCAGCTTAATCAGACTTTGAGCCCAGACCTCATTGAAAGTTTTAGGGGAAGTATATCATTTAAGCTGGTGTCTGTATGATGATAATGGGAGAACGTGAGATATTTATCATGCTAATTTGCTTAAAAAAGTTAACATTAAAGTACATTTAGATATTACAATTAAAAAGAGTTCTGGAGTTAGGTAATTCAGTTTATGATAGCTTTAAAGTATTATCTATAGTCAGATGTCCTATAATTTAGTTTAATCTTTAAATTTGTTGTTAGAAAACTGATTAGATCTTGGACGTTCTCATCATAAGGAAAAATAAATTTGTAATTACAGATGGTGTTAACTAGACTTATTGTGGTACCCATTTTGCAATATATACAAACATTGAATCCTTATATAATGTTATGCCAATTGTACCTCAATAAAAATGTAATAAATTAATAACTAACCACTAGTTACATCCTTGCCAGACATGCTTGAAATAGCTTTCAGTTTTCTATAATTTCTTTTACAGTTCACTTTGTAAATGTACCTTGCTCATAAGTTTTCCAGTGAGTATCAAAGGGCTTCATTAATGTCTTCATTTGATTTGAGCAATCTTGATTTATTGAAATGTTCCCCACTCTAATTTAGAAGATGGAACTGATTCTTCTGGCATCTCAGTATGAACAGGAATGACCAGAATGTCTCATTTTAGGGTATTATTTGCACAAATATGTGGTTGTAAAAAGTTGGGAATAAGAATAATGTGGTTATTGCTTCTACTTTGCAAACTTGAATGACCTTTACACCAGTATCTTCACTGTTGGCAAGGAGAACAATTTCTAGTCAGTGGTGTTTAAGATAACTTTCAAATTCGGTAATTTCAGTTTGGAAAAAGAAAATAGAACGATTTTTATAGTCTTTTCTGAGGCATTGACCTCCTCTTATTGAGCAGGTTCGGGGCTTCTCTCTTCTATCTTCTTTCCTCAGATGAGCTTCCTCTCCGGAGTCTTCTTCTGGGGAAATAGTTATAATATGGACTAAGATGATTGTTTGGCCAAAAATATGGACGGTACTGAAAACGGTGGTTGCACCTCGGTGGGAGGAAAGGGCTGTTTGGAAACCTTATTTGGACGCTGGGCCTCCGTATTGGAAAAAAGTGGAAAGGACACTTGGTTGTCCTTATGATGGGCGGGATCCTTGTCACCGGCTTTGTTGGAGGCGGAGGGGTGAGTGTAAAGATCTGGCAATCTGTAGGATCCACATTATTTTGTGAGCCTCTGGGAGGGATGACTACCCCTTGTCCTGTGGGGAGAAAAATGAAGTCAGGATGCAGGCCTGATAACAACAGAAGAAGGGAGATGCTTGAGGGGTGGCAGGAGAGCAAGATTAGAGGGGAGAAATGAAGAGGTCTGCATGTGTTTGGAAGAACTGCCAATGTTCAGTGAAGTGAAACATGGACACACCTTATGATCCCATGGTTGCACTCTGGGGAATTTACCCAAGAAAAACGAGTGTATATGTCTACAAAAGACTACCTCAAGAATGTTCATAGCAGCCTTATTTATATTAGCCTAAACTTGGGTACAATACAAATGTTCATCAATCGGAGAATGTATAAACAGACTGTAGATATTCATACAATGAAATAGTACTCAGCAATGCAAAGGAGAATTAATACAATACAGATGCATCCCACAGATGTTATGTTGAGCAAAACATTCCATTTGTATCAAGTTCAAGAACAAGCTATACTAATCTATGGTTTTAAAAAATGTAGTTAACTTAGGGTTGGGGTAGGTATTATTTAGTGGAAAAAGTAACGAGGGAACTCTTTAGATCTTGATATTGGTGGTTGTTAACATAGATATGGAGATAAAGACTCCACACACACACACTCATATACACTTATCTATATATATAAAAGCCTAAATAACTGGCTGATTGGCCAGTAGCTATAACACACACTCACCACCAGGGGGAAGATGCTCAATACAGGATCAGCCAAACTGGTCACTTGGCAGCTGTGGTTCTCCAGTGACGCACCCAGAACCAGAGAGGAGGGAGCCTAATTCTGGGATGCGTCACCCGAGAACTGCCCTCTTGCAACCCAGGACCTCTTGGGGGATGTCAGAGAGACAGTTTCAACACAATCCCTGCAGGCCAGGTCAGGGGACCCCACCTGTTTACGAATTCATGCATGGGCCGCTAGTATATACATATCTACACACATGTTTATACACACATATATGTATGCATGTGTAAAATGTGATCAATCTATACCTTTAAGATTTGTGCATTTTATAGTCAGAGAAAATATATGATTTCACTACAAGTGGAATCTAATGAACAAAATAAACTAAAAAGCAAAATAGAAACAGACTCAGAGAGAACAGACTGACAGCTGTCAGAGTAGTGGGAGGTTAGGGGCTGGGTGAAAAAGGTGAAGGGATTAAGCAAAACAACAACAACAAAACTTCATAGACAGACCACAGTATGGTAACTACCAGAGGGGAAAAGGGGATGGGAAGGAGAGGGAAAAGGGGGGATAAATGGTGATGGAAGATGTGACTTGGGGTGGTGAACATACAATACAATATACGGATGATGTATTATAGAATTCTACCCCTGAAACCTCTATAATTTTATTAACCAATGTCACCCCAGTAAATTCAATTGAAAAGATTTGTGCATTTTATTGTATATAAATTATAACTAAATAATAAAATTAGTTGAAATCAGAACTGAGTGTTAAGAAAATAAAAATAACTGCCCCTCACCCCAACAGGCCATTCATCCAAAGGCCTGCTTTAGTTGCCCCAGCAGTGCGATCATTCCCCGAGGAGGAAGCAGGCAGCCTCTGCACACAGCAGGGGAAGGAGCACCGAGGACCAGGATGACACTAGTTTCTGAGAAGAAACTTGGATGAAGCTCAAGTGTCCAGGTCTTCCCTCTAGCTCTGTCATCTACTTGAATTGGCTATGAGAAAGTAAGCTTCCCTTTAGAAAATTATTCCTTCATTAACCTAGTGAATTACCAACTAGACCTGGAAAGGACTGCTGAGTGTGAATGATAGGAAATTGAGCTCCCCACAGGAAGTTGGGAGTACTGAGGCATTTAAAAAGAGCTAGATACCCCTCACTGTTAGAACAGCTGAATCCAGGTTTCTTGGTTGTATCGGATGTGCTTGTTGCCTGCCTGTGCCATAGTCTCTCCCAGAGATTCTGTTTCACCCACAACCCCTGGAAAGGTCAATCCTGTACACCTTTGGCTATGGCTGATTGGACTGCTGTTGGACCTGTCACTTATTCATTGCCTGGCCAGTGACCAATCAGATTCTCACTTGAGAATTTCAACAGAGACCCAGACAGTGGAAGGTGTAAGACCGGGGCTGGGTTAGGTTTTGGTCAGTTGAATATGGAGTAAGCAGAGAAGCCTGTCTCACCCTTTCCCTTCCTCTCTGAAATTATAAAATGGGGAAGGCCTCTCAAAGAGAAAAAGAGGTAAGAGACCAAGAGAGCGATGATGAAAGTAGCCTTGATTCCTGACTTTCCAGGGCTAATCTGACTGAGGGCTGGTTGTACTTAGGGTCTTAGAGATATTCTTATAATAACCATTCCACTTCCAGTTCTCTTTTTAAAAGCTAGCTTGAATTGGTGTCTATTCCTGGAAGGAAATACCCTTTCTTCCAGACCCATCTAGGCTACTGAGTATTGAAATTCTATGACTGAAACTTGATTAAAATATTTCAACTTCCAGAAGATGATTAAATCCCACATGACTCATTCTTTCCTCCTATACAATTAGATCAGTTCCGAACCTTTTGTAACATAAAAATCTTCTGCTGAGGTTTCAGTTGCTAGGGGAGAAGCTAGCCTTACTCTTAATCCCCATCTTGACACTTTGCTGTCAGATCAGGCTTAGCTAGGCCTTGAGCTTTGTCACTCAGTAAGCTGCATTCCAGCGGTACAAACCAGCCAACCAACTGACCGACCGACCAACCCACCCACCCTGGTGCTCATCTCATTTCTTAAAACCTTAAGCTACTCTCCACATCCTCCAGCTGACAGTGTGTGTTAGAGCCTGCTAGGCAGCTTTTTTCTGAGTCTGGGATGTCCCGAGGTGTTCACTGTTTTTTTCTGGGAATTTCTGTGGGGCTCAAGATCAAAGTACATGTTGGTCCCACAACCTAAAAATGTGGGCAAACCCACATAAAACCACATTCTTCCAGCAGACTAGATACATGGTGACTATTCCAGCACAAGTTCTGTAAAATGGGGAAGCCATAGGGATTGATTTGGGAACTGTCACAGATTCTTTACAAGGTTAAGGCCAAACATCTGAGTGAGGGGGTGATGCCATTCATGGTCTCCAACTTCGACTGAGTTAATACTGCTCATTAATTCTTTTTTTAATGCTGTTTTCTAAAAAAAGATATTTTTATTGATTTCAGAGAGGAAGGGAAAGGGTGAGGAAAAGATAGAAACATCAATAATGAGAGAGAATCATTGATCGACTACCTCCTGCACGCCCCCTATTGGGGATTGAGCCCACAACCCAGGCATGTGCCCTTGACTGTGATCAAAGCTGAGACCCTTCCGTCTGCAGGCTGACACTTATATCCACTGAGCCAAACCAGCTAGGGCTCATTCATTCTTTTGTTTATTCTTGTTCTACTCAATTCCCACTGTCTTCTAAACTTTTAATATGCTCCTTAAAGCTGCTTCAAAATTCCCATTCTTTATTTTCCTGAAGAATTCTCCTCTAAATTCTCTCTACCCTTCTAAGTAGATTACTTAGCTTCATATTTCATAGAGAACACTTTGGTGATCTGCCATGAAATTCTTTGGTTTTCATTCTCATTGCAATCATTGCAAAGAAAAATCTGCACACTTCCGATCTGCTGCCCCTCCCCCATCTACTTAAGTGGATTGGAATCTGACTCTACCTTCTCCACTCCACAAAGGCTACTTTCGCAAATGTTATGGGCTTTAGAAAATTTGGTTCCAGATGCTTAGAGCACCATTTTCTGCCATTTTTGCTTGGTTTACTTCCCTGCAGATTTCATATCTCATTTCTTGAGGGAGGCCTGAGGCTGTGTTAAGGCAATATGCAGTATGCTTCCATAGCATCCTGTGTGTTCATGATACTCATGAGTCATATGATTACTCTTCAGAGGTTATACTTCTCCACTGTAATATACATTTGACCATCCATGTAGACCTCATCCTTTGACCTCATCCCCAGCATGGTACCTAGTAGAGTAGAATTGATTGATTGAGAGAAATCTGTTTCTGTAACTGCAAAGGCTACCATTTTCCTATTTCTCAGGGGTAATTCAATTGTTACTAAGCAAATAGTTCTCGCTGTGTAATGTACTGACATGCCACCAAAGGCACTCAATATCAAAGATGAGAGTGCTTCTGCAACCTTATTCAGGCCAAAGTAGGTCAAATATTTAAATGCAGATTAAAAACATTTTGAGAGGCAGAACGGCATAATGTTTAAAAGGATAGGCTCTAGAGCCTGGTGTCCTGAGCTCTGCCATTTAACAACCCAGAGACGGGTTCCTTAACTTCTGAGTTTCCTTTTCCTTATTTGTAAAATGGAGAAAGTAATACTACCTATCTCACTGGTTTATTGTATTATCTGAAATAAGATATGTAAAATGCTCAGAACATTCCTGATCCACAGTATGTATTTAGTAGGTGTGAGCTACTGTTACGATTAATCTTAAATGCTATGGAAAGATTCTGTTAGCAAGAGCCCAATTTTCTTGGTTCCATTTGATTACACTTTATACATAAAATCTGCACTATTGATAGGACTAAAGGATGAAAATCTTATTACAACAGGGCCTCCATGAAGACAGGAACTGCTGACTTTGTCAGTCACTGTGATGTCCCTCATATGTAGAATAGACCCTGGCTTAGTGTGGTGCCCAGACACACTGCAAATACATGGATCTGATAAATGGAATGAATGGCCAGTCAGACATTGAATTTTCCTCTCTATAGATTTTTTTAAAGCTCACTGAATATTTAATGTCAGTCCTAGAAAATTCACAATAATAACTTACATTTAAAATTAGAGTAAAATAAAAAATTAAGCCAAAATATTGCTTAGAGTATAGATATCAATTTTAAGTGGGTTTATTATAGTCTAGACACAAAATTCATAGCATACCAACAACTAGTACTTTTTAAAAAATTTATATAAAAAGACTTTTATATAAATATATAATTACTTGTAGTCTGTGGTATTTGGGCAGACAATAGTTGGGTTGTAGAGAACTATATGGATTTTAAAAGAAGTAAGCTTCATACTTGATTTATAAGTACTAGTATGCAGTTCTTCCATGGAGTATTAGAAAAATTCACATATGCTTTTAGAATTGAATCAGAAAGAAATATAAATCCTGTAATTAATTTACTCAGCATTCAACTCAATTTGATTTTGACTTAGTTAACTGCAACTCAATTCATTGTGTAGACTCACAGAATGACTGGCTATCTTGATTATATCTCTGATTTTACAAGTAAATAATTTGGAGCCCAGAAAGTGTCACACAGACTTATTTCATTTTCAGCAGTGCGCAGGGTCCTATGCTAGATACTGAGGCGCATGGAGAGACGATAAAGACCCGGCCTGCAAATACAGGGATTTGTAATACAGAGCAGAATGCAGGAATGCCATGGGTGATGCACACGTTATTATAAGTATTATTCTAAGTTATCGAAGAGATTGCAATTTTGTCTTAAGCCTTTGTGAAGGCAGTACCATAGTAACACTTAAACATTGTCATGAGAAGCAGAATTGCAGTAAATGGGGGGCAGAACAGGAGGAGGGGCAGTCCAGCCTGCCAGGAAGAGGAGAGGAGAGAGTGAGGGTTGTGGAGGTGAGCATGAGCTGGGACCAGGGCAGCTTGGAGAGAGCGAAGCTACATTGGATGGACTTCCATGCTTGTCTGAGGGACAGTGGGGAAGCATGAGACAAGTTCAGAAATCATGTCTCACATTTTAATTGGTGTTCTTCTGGTGTGAATAAACCTCTAATCTCATTATAACGGGTTTAGCTACACATTACAAAGTTTCCTGACGAATGGTTCACTTTCTGGAACGAAGGCATGAGGTGGCTGGTTCTGTTTATGGTGTTTCTTTTAGATGTCGCTTTTAGCAAGTGAGGCTTGGAGGCCTTGTCCTAGGAAGAAGTGGGGCAGGGGTTATTTGTAATCTCTATTTCCTGCCCTCTGATCACCGGAATTCATGCAGAGACTGGACAGGGTGAGCTCTGGTGGTCTCTCCACCACCTCTAAGATTCCTTCCCTCTCTGCTGTGAACTTTGAGGGATGGAAGCAGGGAGTTTGCTGGAGGCCGATTAGCTTCTGGCTGGGCCCCTGCAAAGCCCCCAGGAGCATGTGAAGATGAGAGATGCATGAGAGATGCAGTTTGACTCCTGGGTCTCTACTCCCTGAACCACAGTTAGTTCTGGAGCGAAAGGAAACTGTCATCAGACCCAGGTCTTCCAGTTTCTTCTTCCTCTCTCTCTTTTCCCCCCTCTCCTCCCCTTTTTTATCTTTTTCTTTCATTTCCCCAGAGGTTTGTAAGCCAAATCTAAGGCCACTTGGAAATTTCATAGTGGAGAAAGGAAATAGAAAAGGAACAGTGGAGAGATGGAATCTAATATAATCCTAAGGAAAGAAATCTATGCTCACTTGAATGGCACCAAAACTCAGCTAAATAGATGTGATTAATTAAAGCAACTAACAAACAGAGACTAAATACCCACTATGTGCAAATCACCGTGCTTCTGGGGATAGAAAGAGGTGTTATTCAGGGCTGCAAATTGTTAGCTTTAGAACCCCAGTAAGTAGTATTCGTATAGTGTTTTAAACTTGAAGAGCTTTTCTGGCACTATGGCTCACAGTCCCCCAAATAATGCATGTTTTTAATCCTGTCACTTCACATATGAAGACACTGATATCAGAAAGGTTAAATATGCCTAAAATCACAGCGTGAGAATTGAGACTGAGATTGAGATCGTCAGATGGTAAGATTCAGCCTGTCCTCTAACCACACAGGCTGGTGAAAGCTGACAAACATTTTCAATTTATGAACACGTATAATCATGGAGCCAAATTTTATCTTTTCACACAACTTATTCATTAGTGGGCCCACGGTAGAATAAACACAAAAAACCCTTACCTTCTGCCACCATTACCACCAGCCAAGAGGCCAACAGCCAGCCGGAGAGGCAGAGCCTGTGAGCCATGGCTTCTACCTGCGCAGTCACTACCTTCCTTGAACCTGGCATTGGTTTAAAAGGGAGATGGTGACTCAGCAGCCTGAGTCAGGTAATTTGCATTTGCATAGTGGACCGCAGTGGTCAGGGCCTGCGGTGTGAGGCTAAGAAATCAGCAAGGAAGTACCTGGAAGTATTTATCAACCAGAAGCTTCTTGCAATGACAGCCAAACATCGTTCATTTGTCCTTAGAGTTGGACTGTATTCTTTTAATTCCCTCAAGTCTTCTCCCCTGTTTACTTGTGTATGAGTCTCCCTCCACAAGAGAAAGAATGTCTGGGAAATAGTCAACACTGCTTCCTTCTGTGGAACTTACTTACTTGAAAAAGCCAAACAGGACAGGGAGAGCATTATCAAAAGGCTTCCTATCCCATGCAGTTTAGAGAGGCCTCTGACCAGAATTTCTGGCTTCTCTGCTTTTGTGCAGAAGCCAACAGCAGCAATAAGCAAAGTATCTTCTCTGATAGTCATCATGATCACTGTCTAAACCAGTGGTCGGCAAACTGCGGCTCGTGAGCCACATGTGGCTTGTGAGCTGTGGCTTGCCGCTCTGTTGACTTAATGAGTTTGCCGACCACTCACCTAGACTCTTGATTCCAATAATTACAGGCTGCTGCTGTTCCTTGTGATTAAGCCCTAAATAAACACCAACGTTTGGGAAGATTAACTTAGCGAGTGGTCTTCCAGGCTCTTCCTTATGCACGAAGTTGCCAATAAGATGGACATGATACATCTGTACCCAGTATTTCCTGAGAGAAGGATTATCAGCTGCTGGAGGAGTGGGATGAGATGGTCACAAGTGATTAAGAGCATGGACCTTGGCATTACAAAAACCTAGCTCCAGTTTTGGTACATAGTCCAACTCTAATTTTCTTTAAAAAAATGTTTTTACTGATTTTTAGAAAGAGGGAAGGGAGAAGGAGAGAGACAGAAACATTGAGGAGAAACATCTATCGGCTGCCTCCTGCACAACCCCTACTGTGGATAGAGCCCACAACTCGGGCATGTGTCCTGTCTGGAAATGGAACTGGTGACCTCTTGCTTCATGGGTCAACCACTGGGCCTCACCAGTGGGTCTGTTCTTTTTCCTACCAGCTGGGTAACTTGGGGCGAGTCCCTGAGAGTTGTTGAAGCCTCAGGTGCCTCATCTGTAAAAAGGGGCTTGTAGTATTTTTCTAAAAGGATTGCTGTGGAATAAAAGAGTCAACTGACTTAAAACTATTTCAGTGTGTGGCCCATGAAATTAATGGTTGTGGTTAAAAAATTATTCTGACTCTGATTCTTTGTTTTCTTAGGAGGTGATACTTGCCCAGTCATTCAATTGCTCAAAAGGTCCCCCGCTTAGAGCATTTTCCTGGGCATGGCAGAACAGCAGCACAGAACACAGTCCCTAACTTCGAAGAGCTGACAATCGAATGAGGCAAACAGAGAGCCAAAACGAATAAGGCACATGGTAAATTCCACAGGCTTGCTATAATCCTAGGCAAAATTCTGGAATGGATGATTAAATGGACGAATTGTCAGCAGCTTGGAAAGGACGCAGGGATCATCCAGACGCAGCTCATTTCCTTTGATTAAGGCACTGCCCACTGGCTCAGCAGGTCTCTGTTGTCTATGCATGATGTGCCCTAGGTGCTGGGCTAAAGTTAGGGTTCCTGCTGTCATCGAGCACACAGTCTGGCAGGGACATTAAATATTAACTAAGGAATAACAACAAGATCTTGAGAGGTAAGAGGGGGAAGTACAGGAGGCTATGAAGCAGAGCACAGAATCTGTAATTTTCCATCACGGGGTATGTATTCCAGATGCTACTTTGCCCCTGCATTGGTAATACCCTGCCTTGCCAATAAAACCAGGTCCATGTAATCACTTTATCTACTGCCCAGTGTTCCATTTTATGGATTTATTTTAAATTATTTAACCAAACTTTTAGTTGAAGGACATTTGTGTTATTTCTTCTGATCTCCTTTCTTTTCTGTATTGGATTTCTAAAGAGCTTCCAATTTACATGTGGATGGAAATAAATGACAAAAGCAAGTGGCATATTTTTCTCATTTGCATCTATTGCCCTGAAATTTTAAAAGAAAGGAGCAAAACTTTAAAAGGGACATTTAGATTTTTTATTTAATTTTTATTTGACAAAAAGTTCTTATTTCCTTACTGTTGGTGTATAGTGAAATTCTTGCCATATTTTATTTATATTTTGTTTATATATAAAGTGAAACCAAGTGATCAACAATATATAAACTCAATGAAGCTGTTATGAGGTCATTAGGTTAGCAAATTCATTTGCAAAAATCTTTAACTCAAAAAAGGAAATATTTCTGAAAGCTTATTTCAAATAGGGTAACTTTGATAAAAGTATTTTTTTCCAGTCATATACTTTAAAAATCCACAAATCATAACTTAGTCATTTAGTTGAAGATTGCTCAGTGAGATGCACGTTTCCATAATCCCAATGTCAACAAAGCTGCAGTAGCTTTGGGTCACTATTGTTGGTTAGTGTGTTAAGGGGAAAGGCCCATATGGCCAGTTGGTGTTAGGTTTTTCTAACAATAACTGTATGAGGAGGTGATATAGAACTAACAGTAGTTATACTTCTTTCCTAAAGACTGAGATATTGAGGCTGGGATTCAGAACTGAGATTTTCCTATATCCAAAATTTATGGTTTTCTTCTAATTAGATATATTTACTTTGCTTTAAAAATCCAGTCATTCATTTACTCACCAATTCATTAATGAATATATATTTTTATTTTAATTGAACTTTGTTTTATGTCCATGTGGCTTAACAATCTATGAAGAAAAAAGCTCTACCCTACCAGCACCATTTAGAAATGACCCAGGGAGGTGCTCTGGTTGGCTAAGCTTGTGGCTGGGGAAGGGAGGGTGGAATCAATACAAGAAGAGAGATAGGGCCGAAACTGGTTTGGTTCAGTGGATAGAGCATCGGCCTGTGGACTGGAAGGTCCCAGATTCGATTCTGGTCAAGGGTATGTACATTAGTTGCGGGCACATCCCCAATAGGGGTGTGCAAGAGGCAGCTGATCAATGATTCTCTCTCATTGATGTTTCTAACTCTTTATCCCTCTCTCTTCCTCTCCTAAAAAATAAATAAAATATATTTTTAAAAAGAAGAAGAGAGATAAAGGTAATAGTCTGGGCCACGGGGGATGTTGGCCAAGGAGTTGCCCTGATTTGTGTCTATTACACCCACAGTGTCACATGACCTTCCCACCCAGAATGTCTCCTTCCCATTCTCCAGTATGTGTCCCTTACCCAGAATGCCTGTTAACAGGCCAATGGATGTTCCTGTGAAAAACAAAAAGAGGACAACTTTTTATTACTAAATGCCTGGGATTGTTACAAATATAGTAATGTTTATATTGCTGCTTTTTGAGAGAAATTATTGTTGGCGACTGAAGGGTCATGTGGTTCAGCCACCACTTGGCATGTGACCTTATTCTAACCAAATGTCAACTGAGATGGAATTATTCACCGATTCTATTCAGTTCGGTATCTGGGTCTAGGCTGCCCTGATGAAAAATCCCCGATGTCCTGTAGTGACAGGTTTCATCACAGAAGGGACGCTAGCCTCTGAAGGCTCTATGATCCTTTTAGGGAAAAGTCCCTCATGTCTTTTCAGGTTTGGAGCCCAGAGAAGCAGGAACCTGGGACTGGGGCATGCTACTTTGTGAATGTGTACTTTGTTTTCATTATTCATTCAACAGCTACTTATTTAACTGTGTGCCAGACACTATGTCAGGTGAGCAAAACAGACAAAAATTACCTGTCCTAGTGCAGTATCATTCAGTGGGATGGAGACAGAGAGTAAACAATAATTGTAACAAAGGAATAAATTATATAATATATTAGGATATGTGAGAATGTTAGGGTATTCAGTAATATGTACTATAGAAAAATAAAAAAATAATCAGGGTAAAAAAAGATGGGTGGGTGTTGCATCTTTAAGTGGAAGATGATGTTTGAACAAGGACTTGAGGGAAGTGGAGAAGTTATTTATGTAACTCCATGGGGGAAGAGTGTTTCAGATGGAGGGTACAGCCAGTGCAAAGGTGCTGAGACAGAAGTAGACTTTGCATGTGACATACAAAGTGGTGGTTGTAACTGGGCAGAGTGAGTCAAGGTGGACAGTATCAGGATAAGGTCATGGGGTCAAGGATCATTATGTGAAGCCATTGGAGGGTTTTGCAGAGGCATGACATGATCTTACATCTTTTTTTTTTTTTAAATATATTTTTGTTGATTTTTTACAGAGAGGAAGGGAGAGAGACAGAGAGCCAGAAATGTCGATGAGAGAGAAACATCGACCAGCTGCCTCCTGCACACTCCCCACCGGGGATGTGCCCGCAACCAATGTACATGCCCCTGACCAGAATCGAACCCCGGACCTTTCAGTCTGCAGACCGACGCTCTACCACTGAGCCAAACCGGTTTCGGCTGATCTTACATCTTGAAAAGTCAACTCTAGCCACTGTGTGGAGAACAGATTGTTGAGGGCAAAGGTAGAAGCAGGCGGCCCAGTTATAAGACTGCAGCAGTAGTGTAGGGGGAGAGGATGATGACTCAGATTGGGGTGGTAGCGGCAGAGGTGTGGGGATAGGGAGATTCTGGACGTATTTTGAAGGTAGAATAGATAGGATTTCCTGGTGAATTGGAAGTAGGGTGTGGGAGTCGTGGATTACACCAAGATTTTTGGTCTGAGGACTTGACTGCTGTGGTTGAATGTAGTCAGGTGGTGAGATCATAGTTGAATTTCTAAAATCCCAATATATAAAAACTCTGGGTCTGTCATATCCACAATAACGGGGAGACTTGACCAACTGGAAGTCAGTCCTGCAGTCAGCGCTGGGTTGCTATGGTGACCCATCACTGACTGCTGAGGGGACTGTGAATCAGCCTGGAAAAGAGGCCCAAGGAGAGAGGCAGAGTCTGATCCATAGCCTCTG